AGTGACCACAGAGCTGAAGCCACAGCCAGGCGGTGAACGTGCCTGGATACATAGCCACACATGCCCCTTAGATACACAGCAAGTGTCTCCCAGGTAGTTCTTTTGTTTCTGGTAACTCTGCTGCTTTGTGCTGTCGCAGTTAACAGATGGCACTAACCAACATAGTTACTGAGCGGGGTTACTGAGTCAAATCTTGGGTCAAATCTGGACCTCACTGGAGCCAAAGAATGTTTGTGATTGAGATGAGCCACCAGGACTTCAGTCGCAGCACATCACTTTTCTCTTTATAGTACTCCCCAGCAAAGCATTTGTAATTCAGCCTCAAAATGCACCCCAAGCCTACTCCTGAGAGGCATGCCATTGCTCATTTCTAAGGTTTCGTTCACGTTTCATTTTGTTATCCAAATATTTTTGTTTCTATTTGGTTCCTCTTGTGCCCTGTCAATTAAAAATAAAACCACAGAAACGATGAACAATGTTAGTATATACTGGGGGGGTTTACTGCATGTTTTTCATTCCGTTTGCTGGTGTTCTGTTTTCCTATGTTTTCGTGTAGTTCAAACCATGCTTTCGGAAACATGCAGTAGCCAGAACACTTGATTAAAGACTAAAGATGCAAAGCAACTCCCCATAAATTACTTTATTGTAGGTATTTACTGAACATAACCTGGACAGAATTTTTTTCTTCTCTATTGGCTGCATGTCATTTTCATGTAACTAGTATAATTCCAGTGACTTCACTGGAAAGTTATTTAGGTTTTCTTACATAAACTGGAGCAGTATTATCTTCTATGTGTTTTTTAATAATGCACTCAAAGCTGTCAAACAGATTTTGCAGTACTTGCTTCTATTAATTGCTTTTATGCCGTTTGCTCTGTCAGCAATACGCAGATAACGATTTTGGGTGTGTATTTTTCTGATTCACTGCTGGTTCAGTGAATGCATAGAAAAGGCAGAAGGCTCCGCAGATGCTGACAGTCCATTACACGCTTGCAAAGCAGCCTCCAATTTACCGCTGATATCCAAACAAATGTTCCCTCCACACCCGCTGTTACGGAAGGAGGGATCTACTCCTAATGTAGCTTGATGCTGTCTGGCACATTTTGGGTCCTCCAAACAAAACAAAACGCTAGCAAAAGTGTGGTAGAGCCTTTTACTAGTCTGTAAAAATACAAATTAGATTTTTTATTATTGAAAGCATTCTTAAATCCACCAAATGCAAGAAATGTGTAAGTACTCCTGCAAACTATATTATATAATTCTTACTGTGATCTTATAAAGCATATTGATCTCTATTATACAGTGCTTGCCTCCTACCAATATATAAAATTATTTCAGAAAAATACAGACCTATTGTCATCTTGTGGATACCAGACTATACATAATAAACAATATGATACGATACTGTAATACACAGGGTATACCTATTGACCTATAGCAACGGTTAAAACCATGCCTTTTTCTATAGCAGGCAAGGTTTTCTTCATGAAGTTTTTTTTGGCATCCAAACAGTAGTTGGAAGGGCCATCTCAGACATTGGTGAGAACAAGTTTGAACCATGCCAGTACATTAAAAAAATAAAACATTTCATTCTTAGGAATTTAGACTTATTTTTCACACACTGCCCTGCTTTGGTGTTCTGTGTAACACAGAGAATATATGTGTTTTCTTTGTAATACCTTGATCATCTTATGAAATAACAGAGTGAAACATAAAACTAAGTAAATCTCTTGCAAGTTATTAGGCAACCCCCTCTGTGTTCCTTTTTTCCATTCTTTTCCTTTCTTTTTTTCGTTTTTTCTCCTCCTTTGTACATTGTTTTAAACATCTTCATCAACTTTATGGCCACAGAGAAAATGGTTAGGCATTTGAAGTGACATACAGGCCAGGTATACCTGGCAGTGTTCAAAAAGGGTCCTGAAAATCTCTGTTGAGCTGTTGCTGAATGTGAGCAGACTGAAGACAGGAGGTAGACGGGGGAATGTGAAGGCCCTTGGGCCAGGAACTGCAGCTCAGCATGTGCCCTGGCTTCCAAAGTCATGCCCAAGCTAAGGATCTCACAGCCGAGCTCAGCCCTAAATTTAGCCAGGTCCAGAAACAGCAATTTTGTCAGCCAAACACAGAGAGGCCCCGTTTGGCCCCATGTGCCTAGAGTGATGCCACTCAGAGTTGGGTAGTGCTTTCTCCCAGGCCCCTGTCTCCTGCTACAGAGCAGCCTTCTCCTAGCAGAGAAATGTTCCATCCTTACTCCATGGTTTAGGATAGGCTCCTGAGAGGTGGGATGTCAGGTGGCAGGTCACCTTGAAGGCCGTGTGTCTAAGGAACCACCCACTTCCCAGGCAATGGGAATTAAAGGGAAGGCCAAACTAAGACCTCCTTCAAGCCTCATGACCCACAGCAGCCACTTTCAGGAAGAGATTCGGGGTCGTGATTTCCCTCCTGCCTTCCTCAGTGAGGCACTTGGCATTGCAGTGAGCGTGATGTTCCACGGAGATCAGTATGGGACCAGAATAAAGACCGATCATCAGTGCTTCTTTGCACTTGAGCTATCAAGTGGAATTAAAACAACATGGACTCACTATGTACTATATATAAGCGCAGTATAGTGAGTACATTACAAATATAAAAAGTAATAAGAGTTTATGTAAAGATAAATACAAAAAGTATAAGAGTTTATGTTGTAAAGAGTTTATATAAACACAAATTAGTACAGACCTTTTCATTTGACGAAATCAGAACAAGTCAACCTCAAATATCAACCCCTCCCCAAACTGCCAAATGCTCAAGTGCCTTACTGTGAGAACACCGAAAGTTGTGCCAGGTCTAGAACTGATTGCAGTCAGTGTCACCAGGAGCTGGGTTTTGTTTCATTCTTGTATGTACATTCCAGTGGCAAAAAAAACCCCAAAAAGTCATTTTTCTGTAAAATTGGGTGGAGAAATTTGCCAAGTCTTAGAAAAATAATTGGGAAGCAACTTGGAATTGCCTAGGGGTTTATATCCTAGATTTTGATACAACTGCTTTTATTCAGTTTAGTCAATCATGTTCTCAATCAGTTGTTGAAGAGGGTGTAATTTTGTTATACAGATTTTTATAGATGAAGTTACCATACTACAGCAAAAGCTCTCTTTGCCTCTGGAGGATCATATGTATTTTGCAAAGCATGCAATCACTTCTTTTTCCTAAGGGCCACATTCACTAAAAATAAGCTTATGCACTAGAGAGGAAACTATGACTGATTACAGTACGAGTATTTACTTTTTACTCACAAAGAAAACTCAACAAGTGAAAACCTGCCTTGCACCTACAAATGGGAAATTTGTTAACTGTAATGTCTCCTGCAGGCATTTATGTCACAGATCACCTTTAGACTCTGATGGAGTTCTTGGTTTGGAGGCTCCTGGCAACGTTCAGTTCTTTGGAATAGAGACTCTTAGGCCAGGCATCCTTCTCCCACTTGAAGACAAAGCTAGGAAGCACAAGGTCCCAAGTGGGTAGGGAGGATTAGGAGAGGGAGTCAGAAAATAGCCTGAGACTGCACAGGTTCAGGGTGACTTTGCAGCTCCTTTCCCCTGGCAACCAAAAGAAAATTTGGCCACGCAGTCACCAGCAGTTCCTCCTGGGAGAAGCTCTTACCCTTGTTGGAGTTGTCCTTGGGGTCCACATGGTTAACGCTTGCTCTGATCTCTTGAAGAAACTGCATCCTCTGACTGCATCTGTGGAGTATCTTGTGTGCCACTTTTCCATGTTGAGAAAGGGGCTCGCAGGTGGCTCTAAAATCTAGAGTCTGGCTGCAGTAAGTGATACCATGTTTAGTTTTTTAAGTCGTTCTCTGATCAAAAGGTCCTTCACATACCCCGGGACTCCAGACCGCAGTGTGCAGGAGTGACTGTCCCTCTCACAGCCACATCTCGGTGGGTCTGTACGCCAAGTGCTCTGCAAGTAGTAGGTCTGAGAGGAGACATTCTGTATCAGAACTACAGAATACACAAACCTTTTCATTCTCATGTAATTCTGAATGCAATTTGGCTGTAGATTCCATAGACCCTGTACCTGTGTGTATGTATGCCCCGGGATATGTCTGTAAAGGGATGGAGAACAGGCACAGCCAGATGAGGCTCTGGCTGTTATGCAGTCCCCTGCCACAGCAGAGGCAGCAGGATGGAAAGGCTCTGTGGTGCTGGGCCATGAGTAGACTCATGAGGATGCACCACAGACCTTACAGCTCCATTTCCAAAGCTGATGAAGTTTGCAGGTGGGATCCAGCTCTTAGGAGTTAGCCAGGTTTTGGGTACCAAAGCCCCGGTCAGCCGTCTACTCTCCCGCTGCCCTCTCATGGGTTTCTTCCC